ACTCTAGTCAATAAAAAAATGACACTCAAAATTAACATACCCAGGTTTCCAAAGACCTGTGGGTGCAGAATTGCTTTAAGCATAAGGTATCTGTAACTAACACAGTACATCGTACTTCAGGAAAATCACAAGAAAAGGATTAAGTTTTAAGCAGCATACTCTCACTGAAAGCAAAAGCAAGGAGAAAAAGAGCAGACAAAAAATGTCAGAAGCTCACAGTGACCCACGTAACAGCTATTTCTAAACCAAGTGCCAACAGGAACACATGAATATCATTATCTTCAAACAAAAGAAAAATCCTTTTTGTTTCGCCTGTGGTTCCTTCTAATAGCTCAGAGATATCACCTGCTCAGATTTAGCAGACTGATTTCCTTTATTGATCTATTTCAGGTCAGTCTCTATAGCAAATTTAATGAAGCATTCCTCCGGCTCTGTGCGGACACAGGCCACTAGCCTGGTCTAGCTACAGAATTCTGACAACAGAAATGCTTGCCACAATGCTGCAAAATAAAAATTTTATTTTAGGTTCTTAAATATGCATTTGTTATTTAAACAACAAATAGGAATAGTAGTTCCCACACTGAGTAGGCACTACAGTTATTACTGAATTAAACACAATGGAAATTATAGCCACTTGTCTAGTGTTTCTCTTTAATAATGATACTTCATTGTTCATTTGGCACAGTCATACATTAATTATACCTTCAAGGATATTTCAAAATGCTTTAGCAAGTCCTTGAAAACATCAATGCAGTATTTCATGGACATCAAGTTTTGAAGCACCAATTTGGTTTCTGGGAAAGACAGCTTTCAGTCACACTACTCAAAATACATAATTTTTTAAGGGCAAAAACCAACAAGAACATTGAACCACAAGTACTCTGTGCCTGAGCTGTTATATTGGGTGAGAAAATCCTGGGGAGAGCAACAGCACTCAGTTCACAACATATAACATTCTCAGTTGTGCCAACTGTTAGCTCTACAAAATCAAGTACTAGCATGGCTGTTTGAGAACAGCATTGCAACATTTCTCAGGTAACACTGCATCTTCCTGTGCCACTTTCAGGAGTTGCTCCAGAATACTTCTGTATTTTACAGCTTGCATCTCTGTACAAGTCAAGATCTGAGTGGACAAGTGCCCAGCTTTCTTTTTCCCTTTTTCCTCCTCTTGTAAAAGGTCCCAGTTGGTTCCAGTTTTCAGGGTGTGAATTATTGTGAAGACATTAAAGGTATGTGCTTTCTTGTGTTCTCAAAATCAGCTTGGCTTTGCAAGGGATGGGCTTCTTCTCTTTCTTGATGGGAAGGTACTGCAAATGCAGGACCTGACTGTGAGAGGCCAAGTGAGGTAGGGGTGGGAGTGAAGTTATTGCCCTGAAATGGTGCTGTGTTATTCACAAAAATCAGCTCCTTTTCCCAAATTACAGCAGAAGAACAAGGGCATCATTACTGATTCAGAAAGCTAAAAGGTTGCTTTACCATGAAATGGTCTTCTTGCCTCAAGCAAGCATTTTCCCTGCCCTAAATGCTTATTTATAATCTCACTTGCAGAACTGCACAACAAACGTATGAGCTCTGCCATACATGTTCTGAATCTTTGGGATTGGTAGTTCTGTCCTTTTGTGTTGAGGCAATCAAGTGCATGCCTCACTTTAGTAAAAATACTATAAATGCTAAGCTAGCTGCAAATTCATATGTGGTATTGATAAAATCACTAGTCAATACAAAGATGTTTTAATATGCTTTACTGTTACAGGGCTTGCAAGGGTTTTTCAGGGTGAAGAGAGAGGCGAAAATGTTGACTTCATGTTCAGAAGGCTTGATTTATTATTTTATGCTATATACTACGTTATTACTATGCTAATAGGAATAGAGAGAAAAGTTCTCAGCAACTGGCTAAGCTAAGAATAGAAAAGGAATGAATAACAAAGGTCTGTGTCTCAGCAGAAAGCGAGAACAGCACTGCCGTGAGTGGTCAGTAAATCCAAACATCCACAGGAGACCAATCACGGACGCAACTGTTGCATTCCACAGCAGCAGATAACCATTGTTTACATTTGTTGCTGAGGCCACAGCTTCTCAGAAAGGGGAAAAATCCTAAAGAAAGGATTCTTATGAAAATATGTCTGTGACACTTTACAAGTTACAGCTCTTCATAAAGACGTTTAGATTAAAAAACACATTTATTTGAACTTACCACACCACTGCTTGGTGGGCAACTGAGGCACAATAGGTGATTTCTTTGGGCTGAGGAAGGGTTCTTAAGCTGTAATTCCTTTATGAATTTCAAGATGCATGGACAAGTAAGGTGATTTCAGGGATGGCATTTGAGCCAGGTGAAAACGGCCAACTCTACAAAAGCACATGCCACAACCTACACAATCTGTCACCAGATAATTGCTATTTTCAGGATGGAGAAAGGGTTAAAACTTTCAGAAAGGCTCAACAGAGCAAAATTAAGAGCTGACTGCATTCTTTACCTATACATTTAAAACATTACAGGGCGGTTTGGGGTTTTTTTGGAATGTTAGAATTTGTGAGCCTGAGAAAATTTAGTACCAATTATCACAAAACCAAACAAATTTGTCCTCCTTCTTCAGAACTTGACAGCGGAACTCTATTTTCTAACTATACATCATCACAAACACAGAAATTGAAATTAAGCTCTTTGCAGTCATGTTCAAGGTCCTCAGATTTCATTATTACTATTACTATTTTTACAGTGGAGTTAATGGTCACTTAAAATGGACTGCCAAACCTAATCCTAGCATAAATTAATTGAAATCCACTATCATAGCTACAAAATAGATCTCAGAAAAATTATTCTGCTTACTGAACATTACAGTTTTGGTATTAATTCACTGTTCTTGCTCTGCTAAAAGGCTGAATCACAGTTGAACTTTATTACTATATAAATGCAACTGTTAAAATCATCAACAATTAAGCTGTTCATTTGCTGCAAAACATCATTTTTTGTAATTTCCATAGATTGGTGAAAATTTAAGCAGAAATAAAACATGAGGGTAACAATATTTCTCTGAATGGTGCAATTTTAGTCATGCACAGACTTCCTCTATAAAACGAAAGCTCATTTTGGTAAAATACCTGTCTTTGACAAGTCATATATATAATGAAAATTGGGAATTGAACTCATTAGTGATTTTGTTCTGCTCCAGCACCAGTTTTCATACTTTTGACCAAGCTCCTGGAAACTGAAAAAATTGCCTGTCATGTTAATTTTTTAAAAATTATCTTAAGGTTTTAAAATCTAAAGCCCTAAGGAAAATAGAATTAGAACAAAGACTCATGAGGACAAGATGCAGCATATCATGATTTGGGAGGAGTGGTCTTTGTTGTACTTTAAAAGATAGTTATACTGAACATATGTCAGGCACAATTAATAAGAGATTTAACTTATAGAAACACCATGTTGGTCATAAAGAAAGACATGTCTGAATTCCATTCCTTCAAGAGGTACTTAAACTCCACCACAAATGACCTTCACTACATACTAACAAAGAACTGGCCTGTATTAGTTAAAAAAAACACAGCATGCTCAGAGAAGGAGTAAAGAATGTAGTAGATATATTACTATTTTCACTTGTAATTGACAACGGTGCACCGATCACAGGAAGAAGCCGTTTGTGCAGCTCTGCAAAAGCTGTGATGCCTTACAGTAGTTCAGCTTCCTGATTCAGCTGTCAGAACCCAGGCATGCAGGTACAGTGCAGTGGGAGACCAAGGGCACTAACAGTGACCCCAGGACCATTTCAATTCACTCTGCTTTCAAACAAGAGTACTCACATATGTAGGGGGATACAGTATGGGTAAATGAAGATGGTATAGAATATAATCTTATCTCCTAAAGAGCTGCAGCTGTGCCAATTATTAAGGAATAGGAGCAGGCCTGATTTTAACAGGCCACACCTGTAGCCAATCAGAAGAGTGTTATAAAAGAGTGGATTGGTTGGTTGAGGGTAGCTGGAGTCAGTTGGCTGCTGTGAGGATAGGGAAGAGTCAGTGCCTGGAGGAAATGCCTACAAGAAACACCAAGGAGGTATGAAACTCTAGCAATATGGAACCTTTGCAATGTACTGATAATAGAACTCTTGCAATATAAAGACAACACACATAACCTGTGCTATTACAGAAATAAACATTTCCATTTCTTTTATGAAAAATAATCAGTTCCACTGCCTTGAACTAGGTCATCCAGACTGTCTCATTTTTAGTCAAGTACCTTGCACAGAACTATTACTGCATCATTTTAAAAGATAACTTTAGGACTGATACCACACACTAGGAAAATGTTCCCACTTGAGTAACTAAAAGCTGCTAAAATTACCTCAAATTAATTATATATCTTTATTTTGTATGTCCAAAGGTTGATTATTTCCATGCATTTTATTCCACTGACTGCTAAATGGGAACTGAGCTAGTAATGTCAGTATTACTACAACAGAAAAAAAGTACAGCTCTTATGGAAGACAAAGTATAATATTTCCTTTGTTAATGCAATTCGTTTCCTTTATACTTCCTTTTTAAAGAAAAGCATAAGAAAATGAAACAAAAAAACCACAAAAAAGAACAGCACAGTAGCATTGAATAAAAGCAGGAATATTTTCACACACACTGCCATACTCTGTGCCACAAGTGCCATTAAACAGCAGCACAGCTCTAACGCCCTGTACATGAGAACATTTAAACAGCACTACTGTTAAGCAGCAATGTCAAAATATTTCCTTAGAAGCTGGAAACATATATAGTCAGACATTGCCTCAAATGTTTGTTACATTTTGCACTCCTATTTTAAATACAAGCTTTCCAAACTGCCCAAGACACTATCATACTAAAAGATACAGTAATGTTTTAGCTTAATGAAAAGAGCACATTATTTCCATTCATATTTCTTAATACATATTTCATTTTTAGCTCAGCTAACACATGAGTCTTTTTTCAGGTCCTGCAAAACATGAACAAAGACAAACCTATTTTTTTCATACCATTAGTTTCTGCAAACTTCTGTATATCAGCCAGAGTTTTCAATTCTTTCCTTGGGCAAGCTGATACACACAAGGCAATAGACTTAATCTTCTGATGTACTAGATCAATGTTGCATGGATCCAAGAAGAATACATACCTATGGAAGGAAAAAAGATAAATTACTTCTATTTTAATTAACAATTACACTGAACAAAATTTCAAACTATGGGATTCAGTCAAGACTGAGTGATTCGGTCCACCCAGAAATATAGGAAATTTGATATTATTGTAACTGTGTGGATCAAAAGAATTTATGTACTCAACATATGCACAACAAATTTATTGGTATTTATGTACCTCTGGATCACACAAAAAGGATGTTTAACTCTACCTGATTCAAGTCCATTCAAATGGTGCTACTCACAAAAACAGTAGTAGTCCTACAAAGACTCTTCACAGATATGAGTCCAAACATTCATAACCCTTTACTCCAACCTTAAACTTGACTTAGAGAATTCAAAATTTTTTCCAAAAAGAGCCAACAAACCAAATAAAGTCACTCTTATTCTGCAAAAACAAAAGGTCCATGGCTATATTAATGAATACACATAATACCAGTAATTAAGAACAGCTTTTCAGTATAGATTGATTTTTCCATGTCATGGCTGAATTAATTACTTTGGTATTTACTTAGAAATAAACTGTCTTCACATATTTTAAGCAGAATTATCTAATGCTTACGTGCAGTATTTTAAAGATATTTTACTTGCTAACTTTTCACAATGAATGTAATTTAAAAATCCAATGCATGAAGTACCTATTATAGATTCTTAACTAACATCTCCTGGCTATGTATATGTTTTATGACAAACATTAAACCTACAGAATTTCCAGTGATGATATAGTAGAGATGCTTTTCTCTTTGAAAGTTGAACAATTCTTAAATCCCTACAATTCTGGTGATGGAGTATGCATTGAAATATTCTCTTCATATTACCTAATATCATATGAAAACACCAGAAATCTGCCACATAAAATGCCATTTCTATTTTTGTAGTCCTCATGATGGGAATTCATTCTGCAGCCAGTAAAAATCCCTTTTGCTCCTAAAAAGCATTTAGGTCCTCCCTGAACACCTTCAGGCTATATGCTAATTGCTGTCTACTGTTCTATTACCCAGTGTCAGTGTACAAGAATGATTACTACATAGTACAATCTTCCTTAGAAGTCCATCAAAACTCATGTCATCTAAATCAACTGTAACATAGTAATAGATTACTTGCATTCTTAAAACATGAAAATAATTTTTTGTTAATATCTTGACAAAAGTCAAGAAGTCTGAGGAACAAGTGTAAAAATGAAAATTCTATCATGCAAACACAGTAAAAGTAACTGCATGCAAGCAATAAGCCACAGTTTTCCCTTAACTTCAAGGAAAATACTCTTGAGTTGATACCAGGACATGAAATAGCTGTTTTAATTGAAGTTCCTCCAGTTGTTATCCTATACAATGAGGGTATGCGGCAGAAGAGTGTCTACTTCTTTGAGGGTATTTGGTCAAAGGAGCTACAAAGCAGAACCTACAGAGTTAAACTTGACTGATATGGCAAGGGAGGCTAGGATGGGAACAAATCTGGTCAGTCTCACTAAGTGGTAAGGACATGTGGATTATGAAAATTTGATGATGATTTGGTGATTTTTCAGATAGTCTTATCTGGCTAAGGACTTTGCAAATTGAGAAAAGGAAAAGGAGGGAGACAATCAGACAAAAAACTTATCCACTTAATGTTAGTAATAACAATAATCAGAAAGAAACCCTGACAATGACAGCAATTGATGGGCTATCAAGAAACTGCAGACAGGGACTATGCGATTGATAGGGATGCAAACTCTTAAGTACAAAATGTAGGAAGGGTCAGTGGGACCCTGCTAACAGCAAAGGGAACATGCACAGGACAGGGCAGCAGACACAAGGGTGTAAAAGGGAACAGTTACATGCAAGTTGATGTTGGTCAGTATGTTATCTAACCTCAGCACCTGATCACTGCAGTCTATCTTGCCCTATTACTAAAGCTTTTAACTCTCTCTCTGCATAATTCCAGTCTCTATACAATGTGCACGGATGCTGCAAGTGCTGCAGAGATTAAGCGACAGCTACTGGGGGGACTGACATGGGTGTGAGGGATTTGGTGCCAGCAGCAGGAATCAAACCAGGTGTTTGGGTGTCACAGCAATGTGGTTTTAGCTACCGAAGTGAGTGGGGTCTCGGTGCCAGTCGCAGGGAGGGGTCTTGGCAATGAGCTGCTGGGGTGAGAACAATGTGTGCCTACAAAAAAAGCAGCTACAGAGGTCACAGACTCAGCATAGGTGGTCACTGCCCTTGTGGTGCTGGCTATTGATGGGGCTGAGCATCTGTACCTTCTCCAGAACAATTTATTCAAATTATAGAAACATAGAAAATCCTGAGTTGGAAGGGACCCTGAAGGATCACTGAGTCTAGCTCCGAGTATGGAGCTCTAGGTGAGAAGTGTTGGGTGGGCAGAGGGTCTTTTGTGTTATCTGGGGGAAACTGTGGGTCTGGGGTGCTTGTGGAATGAGTGCATGAATGTTAGGTACTTAGCACCAAACTGGATCAGCTGCTGAGAAGGGGGAACCCATAACGTGGATAAGGCGCTCTGCTAGTACTTGGAGAATCTGCAACATTTCTGAGCTTGTGAACCTGGAAAGTGCCATGTGGGTGCCTAGTGACCTTCTGCACTAGTGACATTCTGCCACTGTCAGCCTTCCTGCTTTCATCACTAGGAGGAGGAGGGGACATGACTGGCTCTGCTTATGAGCACCACTGTTGAAGACAGCACCTTGTCACTGCCAGTCTGTGTAACCAGCTATGTCAATGTCCCATATGTTACTTTCCATCCACATCCCTCAGCCTCCGATCTCAGCAGAGACCCTGGGCTCTGGGAGCTGTGGAACTGGACTCCAATTCCTAGACAAGAGGGTCCTCTGAATTTCCCCACGGAAACCAAATCAGGAATGTCACTATTAGCAAGATAGAACTCATCCCACTTCTACCATTATTTCAATTCAAGGGTCAAGCTATCATTTTAATCATCAGAATATTTTGTAAAATAAATGCTACAATGCTAACTCACACTTGGAAGTTTAGAAATACAATGCAATTACAGCATCCTATACAGTTTTGACAGAAATGCGGGCACAGCCTTAAAGAGCACATGAAATTCAAACACTACATTGTATGGTGCACAGAAAAGAGCCGCACAGAAAACTCCAGGTTATCAAATCTGTGGTCTCGGAAAACACAAGTAAGATAAGTAAGATTAGTCTTACTTCAGCACAGCTAAAACAAGAACCAAAATTTGAGGAACCAGCATTACAGAAGAAAAGTTAATTTTTTTTGTTTATAAAGCTTATATGTAGAAGACAAGTGATTTTACTGCAGAAAATTTCATACTGTGAAACCACAGGACAGGTTTTGTTTCCCTCTAGAAGAATGTCATTGCATGCTTTGTGCTGCAATTTCAGTTATTTACAGTCAGCAATAGACTAGTTTTCTAATAAGGAAATAACACATCAGCAATACAAAGGCAGACGTAAACAAAGTAATCATATTGTTAGAAATGCTTCAATACTGCAAATGAAAATATGTTTGCTATTTGAAAATCAATATAGTAGACTTACAACAAAGGTACATTTATGCATCTTTATGAAGTACCAGCCCTGTAGAGAAGGACTTGGATGCAGCAGTGCATGAAAAATTGGACATGACCTGCAACCCAGAAAGCCAGCTGTATCCAGGGCTTCATAAAAAGAAACATGACTGGCAAGGCAAGTTTTACTCTGCCCTCAGGGGGGCCCCCAGCTGCACCCAGCTCTGGGTTGCCCAGAAGAAAGTACAGAAGACATGAACAGTGCAGAAGAGACCCATGAAAATGATGAGAGGGCTGGAGCATACGAAGGTGTGCTAAGAGAGTTGGGGCTGTTCATCTGGGAAAAGAGATGACTGTGGAGACAACTTCTGGCAGCTTTCCAGTACTTATAGGGGGCTTCTGTAAAAGACAAATTGACTTTTCACAACAGCAAATAGTGAAAGGACAAGGGGGAGTGGCTTTAAAGTAAAACAAGGTAGAATTAGAATGATAGAATAATTTTTGTTGAAGAAGACCCTTCACATCCTCTACTCTAACAGTAAATGCACTGCCAAGACCACCACTGAATGATGCCCCTAAGCGCTAAATCTACACATCTTCTAAATACCTCAGGAATGGTGACTTAACCATGTACTCAGGCTTGATAACCTTTCTAGCAAAAAAAATTTGTCATAATGTCCAATCTATACGTCCCCTTGCACAGTGTGAGACCATTTCCTCTCATCCTGTCACCTGTTACCTAGGAGGGGAGATTGATTCCTCCATCCTTTCAGGTAGCTGTAGACCAATAAGGTGAAACAGAGAGCTAGTAATTCTGAGCATTAGTAACACTTAGACAAAGCTAGCATCTTAAATATTACCTAAAAATTAACAACTAGAGTGTACAGCCTGGAGCATGTTATAGGAGCTGTAATGAACATACTGCAACATGGAGTACAGAACCAAGCAAAGTCCCCCAGAAAAACAGTGTAAGAGGATATGAAGATGACTACACAGAAACCACTTAGTAACACAACAGCAAACCAATGAAAAGCAAGACCACTCCAGGCCCTAAGAGTGCTCATATTAATAATTTCCCAGGTATTTCTTTGTTCTGGCTCTCTTTTTTCAAGGCACATAGACTGAGCTACCAGATATCATAATTGATCTGTGTCATCTAATGGAGATAAGAGTCAAGTGTCAAAAATTTCTCAGCAGTAGGGCATACACAGTTTCAGTCAATCAAATTCTCTGTGTACATGCTACAAACCATCCTGAAAACCTGCATTTTCCCATTACCTAAAGTTCAGGCATTTCCTGGGAGCAAATGCATGTGCTCAGGCAGAATGCCACCCTAGCTATTCTTCATAGCATCATATGCACATCTCCTAGTACTTGAGTAGACAGCACAAACTGAATTCTGTCTAAATAACAACACATCGGTGATCAAAAACCAGACTGAACTAGCATTTCAGAGACTTGCATTTGGCTGCTGTGATTATCATTTATTTGCAAATAAAAGATAATTTTTTTTAACCCTTTATAACTATCAGAACTCGTAAAACAAGGAGCTTACTTGAAGCAAATAGGTTTAATTAGAATTCATTGCCAGTTCTGGAATATTGTCTTATGTCTGACTGTAGAAGACAGACTACTAAAGTGTGTTGTGGTTACTTTATAAAAATAAAAGGATGCTGGATCCACTCTTTGTTGACAAGACCAGGCTATAAAATCCTCCTTCCCAATACTTCATATCACTGGTTTCAGCATATCTGATGTACACAGACCAAATCACATCCCTGTGAGAACTGTGCTCTTTACCCTTACCACCCAGATTTCCATATCCACACAGACCACATCAATTTCACTTCCATGACAGTGCCTATGGGCTGCTGTCATATATAAGGAAGAAAATGTTACTTTTACAGATGATTTAGCTTTTCAGCCCTTGGACTAGGAAATGGAATTACCCTGCAAGCAAAATGAAATTAGAGTATCTTCACGTTTCCAGAGCCCCATTTGTGGAGCTTAAAGTCTTTTCTTTCTCTACACAAACTGAAATGTATAGGCAGGAAGAAGAGTTTATTTTTACTGTCTGTCTGCAAAGTGCTCCTATAAAAATAACATTAAATACTCCCATGAACTCCACCTCAGACACTGTAGGAACTCCATCTGCTAGAGACAGATGCAAAGCAGATAGCTTTTCTAATTTGCTTGGCAATTTTTCAGAATAAACCATGAGGTGTGAGAGAAGGAAGGATCACTCACTTATATAAGAACCAATCACTTCCAAAACTGGATACCTTGGACTATACCAGGCACTTCATGCGAACAGTTAAAGAGTAATCTGCCTTAGAGGGTTTTCTCTTAACCAGATAGAGAGGACTATAACTTACATGTGTGTATCTATTAATTTGTTTAGTTCATGCCTCAAGCCACAACGCTTGTTAGAAAAGCGTAATTCTTTTGAACCTCATTAAGATGTCTTGACAAACAACAGGCTCTGTCAATTAACTGTGTTTAAAACAGTCTCTCTTTTTATCTACTGTCTTTTGAGCTTGCATTTACAAGAAGAATTTACTTAGTGGTAGATGTTTCCCCACATGATGGTCTGACCTTTGTCACATGTAGAAGACCATCACAATATTAATTATTACATTTCAATAAGATGTCTGAAATTTTCTACCTTCACATGAACTCAGATACCATTTCCTTCTAAGGGTAAACTTAAAATTATTCTTTTAAATTTGGATTTTTTCTCAGAACACTAGAATCACAATTTTATACTGTATACACATGAGTTTAGAAAAGGCTAAAATGTTTCTGTAAAAAACAGGAAAATTTCGCTGCATAAACTTTAAGCCTTTCAACTTTCTTGAAAGATCAGATTAGAATAAGAAATTATTTTTCTGACAAAAGATATCAGTAAAAAGTTCCAGACATTTTATTTATCTCAAATCTTTCTGATAACCACCTATTATCTATCTACATTAAATCTTAAATGAGATACTTAGAAATCTTTAGAATAGTAACTCAAAATAAGAAGATCTCAGGAAAGCATGCTTCCCAAACAACTTAGGAAAATTATCAAAATTCTGTTAGTCTGAAAGTATGTAGTAAAGGGCTATCATACTCAAAAATCAGTAACTTTTTAGCTCCTTGAAGTAACTGGTGATGAAAAAACCACTTTTTTCTTTGTAAGTGAATATCACTGTACTAAGCTAAACAGTTTGCTTCCTTAAGTTTCCTAAGTTGTACAGAAGGACTCTGAGCTTATCTAACAACACAGACCTCAACAGACATTCACAGGTATTCAACCTGTCAGTGAAGAATTCTTGCCACTGCTCCAGTACTACTACTGCAGTGTGATGTCTTCCTGGACAACAGATAGGAAGTACCTGAACTTTGAGTATGAGTTTTAACAAGACAATGCTTAATCAAAGCTGTGCACACCTCTCAAGTTTTGTGCGTTTTCTCCACAAGTCACATATATACATTCTGCCTACAGTTCAAATTTTAAAGTCTTATTCTAATGTGCCAGATTATCTCATCTCCCCTTACATGTCATGGCAGAAATCAAGTATACAACATCAAAAGTAAACATTGATATCAAAGCCTGCTCCCAAATCTGAGACTACTTGTCATACTTAAAACCCTAACAAACAAGACTTTTCATCAGCCTAATACAATACTCTACATGAAATGGATATTGAGAAAAAGTAATTTCTCAATGTCTTAGCTGTATTCATATTGCATATCTGCCAACATACAGTCTAATGTTGCTAGTTGTTAAAAAAGATTGCTGTCCTCTAAGTGAGAAAAGTGTCAAAGGACAAGAAGAAATGAGTTAACATATCCCTTTTCCCACCTTATTTAAAATCACTTTCAAAGAAAGAAACAATTTTGCATTCTCTAAACCAGGCAAGGCAAAGCCTATCACATACTTACTTCTTGTGTGTGAGGTCCAGACCACTGTTGACTATACCCTCCACCTTGACATTTTTCTGTCCACAAATATTTCCATAACTGTCATATCCTGAAAGCAGTCTTGCAGCTGCTCCTGTAGCTATTGAAAAGCCACAGATAAAACCCTGGAAGAATACAAAAAACCCACAGTTAGCAATACTCTGTTTGAAAGATGGGAAAAGTCAGTTTTATTCATTTATTTCTAAGCAGAGGTTGCCTAAAAATTCTTTCAGACTGGAAAGGGAAAGACAATGACTATCAGAGAGAACTTTTGTGCAATAATAAAACAGAATGCAAGTTAAAAGGGGATTCAGACATCTAATACAGGATATTATACAAGCAGAGTTAAGACTCCTGTATGTTGTTTATTTGAAAGTCATACTGTCAGCAAGGGGCATGAAGCAGAAGGGAGAAGTCAGCAAGTGCACAAGGGCTGGCAGTGAAGGAGAGCTACAAGCAGAGATGGAGTTGTGACAGATTGCTAAGCATCTTGGACAATTCCACACAATCCAGATTTTCTTGCTTTCAGATTTTTTTCTTTCCTTTAAATTAAGTACTTTCAAAGATGAGCCAGAATGATGAGGCCTATCTAACACAAGTTTCTTTTAGGGAAATCCTCTTAAAGCAAGTGAGCAGGTCAAGGCCACAATGGTTCCAGACACTGGTTTTAAATGCAGGAAAGAAACAGATGCAAAGCAAGATGGTTCAGACCACCCAAGTACTGTGGAAAATATCCTATGTAGGCAAGTCTTGCTGTGAATTTTCAGAGATATTTCACAAGCAAAACCAAGATTAAGGCAATGATTGTGCAAACAAGAGACTAGCCCAAAAGCCTCATTAGCAAACCACTGATAGGGAGAAATGAACCATCAGCTCACTCCACTACCACCAAAGAACTGATTTTACATGTGAGACAGGCTAAGATTTGAGAAGTGGATAAACAGGTGAGATAAGAGCATAGGGCAACAGATGGCAGTGGCAGGATCAGATGAAATGATGACAACAGGTAATGACGTTGGCATGCAACAGCGAAAACGTGGGTGGTTCACCCTGCAAGTGAAGTCTCCTAGAATGGTAACTATGTGACCCGGTCGGATGATTGCTCTGTATACTACATTACTTAGAAAGGAAAATTTGGGACACTCGTGCACAGAAAACTAATGTATAGTTGGAGGAACAGCTCATGCTCAGTTCCCCGAATAATCAGAGAACATGAACAAAACCAGAAAAAAAAAACCAAATGCAAAAAGAGAGCTACGTATTTCAGAAAGCACTGTCTTATGTGTGCAAAAAGCACTGTGCTTTTTGCAATTTTAAGATATTCACATTACAGTGACAACATAATTGATACGATTTTAAATAATCATTACAATTTTTACATTTGAAGCCCAACCATTGAAAAACACCCTGAGGAAAGTAGAAGAATTTTTTCAGTGGAATTATTCCTAACACCAGAGACCGAGGAAGAGCAGAGAAGAAAGCTGAGAGTACATTAAGTCCCAAACCCCCCTAAGGACCCCTGTCTGCAACACAGTAGTACAAGACAGCAATGGATATTCTCTATTTAAGAAGAGTAGCAAACATAGGTCCATAAAACAAAACAAGATGGAAAGAAGTGTACTTCTACATTAATCTTTAGGTTTTGGAGGTTTAGTCTTTTAATAAAAAGTGTAGAGTTTCACGAGGCTGGCTTGAAAAAGTAGATGGCTTCATCACAGAATACAGAACTGTTAAAACTTTGAAAGAAAGATCTTATCATTGGTAATATGGTTTTTAACAATAGCTGCTTCTACTAAGTATACAATAAAAATAAATAAATTAACAAATAAACAAAATCTCAGCTCACACTTTGACAGTCAGAATTTCTGTTTCTCACAAAAAAGTTCACTGTGATTCACAGAATTGCTTACCAGACACCTAGCTATCATTTCTGGGACATGCATAAGGAACATGAGTCAAGTGATAATTCATCTTGCTGAAAAATTACTTACCACTGAGACTGCAGTTTCAGGGGAAAAGAAGCTGGAGCAAGAATTGGCACCAACAATAAATTATGGATCCCTACCAATGGCCTTTGATATGTACATACTACCCATTTTTGTTCTACAGTTGATGATTCCCATGCAAACATATCCTGATCTTTGCCAGTGATTCAGTTACTGACAGGTTTTAAAATTCCTTTCTTATGAACACAAACTCTTTAGATATATAACATTTACAAAATCCTCTGAGTTTTACTCACCATTCCTATGCAGAAGAGGATGAATAAGAGCAGCCATGGTACATCTGTGCAGCTGTGGTCTTCCAAAGGCTTCCACTCTCGCTTGGAACTCTTGTGTGAGAAGAGAGAGACGAAGTTAACAACATTTCGTCTGCTCATAAAAGAAAAAGGCAGAAAATTATTCTACAGGTAATTTACCTACAATAGGAGCCATCTTTAAATGCCAAGATAGTTGAAGAAGCTTGAAAGAAGAAATTGAAAAGACTTGAAGAGTAAAGCTCATGTAAGATTCCAAAAGAAGTGCCTCCACAGGAGCTAGATCACCAAGTAGTTATTTACCCAGAAAATAGTTAATTTATCCAGAAATTTACAAATATTTATCCACAAAACAGGTTATTTTCATCTATCATTTTATTAACAGAAAACAGAAATCAATGGCATGAAATGGAAAATATCTCCTATTGCAGTCTTCCACAGCTACCTTTCAGTAATCTGATTTCCAGGAAGGATTAAACTTTTCAAATACTATTGGCGGGTCAAACAAGAACTATGCATGCAGAAAGGAGGCAATAAATTGCTGTTTAAGGAACAGTTTTCTACCTGCCATAAGGCAGCTGAGCTTAACACTTCAGCGAAGAAATCCTTCATCTGTATTGCTATGGTGCCAGAAAGGAAAGTTGTACAATTAAAGGTTGGAATAGTCAATATGGAAGTAGTTGTAAGCAATTCAGATAGTTTGCTGCTCATGAGGTAAAAATTCTCAAGTATATATACATTGCTAAGATAATTAAGAGTCTTATAAACAGTCATTTAGGCAAAAAGGTTTCAGGAAAAGAATAAGCACTAGCTGGAATACAAAACTAACCAGCAAATCTTAATTTGTTATAACAAAAATACTGATTACAGCTACTTTTAAAAATACAGAGTTACACAGACAAGCTTTCTCAACAGGCTCCCAAACACTGAATATTCAGATATATTGACTGAGACCCAAGAAGTGCAGACACTGTTTTAACCCTTGAGGCAGAAAAGGAGATTGATATGAGATTACATACACAACTGTCCTCTGCAGAGATAGAGCAAAGGGCATTAACTGTTGAAACTATGAATTTACTTTTTTCTCTGAAGACTCTGAACCCTGGAGGCCTGTGAGCTGACTTCGGAGAATGCAACAGCAATTCCCTGGAGAGATGCACCTTAGACTCTGGGCACTCTTCACAGCTCATGGTGAGGAAAGAAGTTTTCCCATGGGGCTCTGCAGCACTATGTTAACTTGTACCAGTTCTGTCCTCCCCATTGGCCCATTGCCTTTCCCTACCCCTTTTACCCTTTTATGCTTATGTTCTAGCTAGTTCTCCCTTCCCTGACTTCCCTTTGGTTTATGCCTCTGCCTGTCCACCCTGGCATTTCCTATTGGTCCCTTCCCTGGTGTACAACTCCTGAGCACTCAGATCCCTGATGCTCTCCTCTGCCCCCTCTTTCCCTGTGTTTATATCCTGGACCCTCCTTTGTTCCCTGTCTTTGGCCCCTGGATGCCTTCAGCATGGTCTGAAATAAAGCACATTGGAACGCCATGCCTGGACCCTGCCGTGTCCTCACTGTTGAGTTGCTCTGTGTGTGTGTCTGTGTGTCTGTCTGTGCTGGTGCTCCTGTGTCTCCTACCCACTGGCACAAGACACTCTTGGGGAAGGTTGCATCCACCACCACCAAGGACCGCAACACGGAATAATCTTCGAGATTTTGCTGACAAGGTAGCAAATGTCAGTACTGAATTAAAACAGAACAGCTGAATGAAATTTCAACAATTTGTGCCTCCACTATGTATTCTGCGTATTTTTAATTTAAAAAAAGAAAAGCAATACTGTTGTGGTGTGTTTTTACGTTTCTCAGTTTGCTCCCCCATTTTATGTATGTTCCCCCTTTGTTCTCTGTAAATGGTTCCTCCCTTCCCAGTTTTCCCGCCACTGTTGCCCTGACAGATGAGTTACTATGGTTACCCCTGCCCCCTTCAGTTGCCAATCTCCCAAGTTACATAACTGCTCCTCCCTTATCCCACCATATAAGTAAAGTTTTCCCCTCCCTGGGCCCAGTCAATCACCCCCTTCTCCTCCCAGGCTTCGAGAACTTTCTTCTCTCTGGGGGTTGTGGTTGGCTGTGGTCCCGGGGCCCCTCCTTTATTTTGTATTCACTGGTTAGTTCTGAATGTCAATCATGTTTAGCACCTCCCTTTATGTTTTCCTATTGGATAGCTGGGCTCCCCTCCCTTCTCCTCCCCTTCCCTTTAAATCCTTGTCTCTCCCCCTGATCGGGGCCATTTGCGGCGGGTTTTTCCATCTGTTGGTTGCCATTTGCTGTGGGCTTTCCCCTCTGTTGGTTGCCACTGGCACTTCAATAAACCGACGTTTTACCCCCAGCAAGTGGTCGCCTCCTCTCTCGTCTCGTCCAGCGTGAATCCAAGTCCGAAATCCAGCCCAGCCCGAGGCCACGACGCCAAAGGGGGTTGGCTTCTTATGCGTAGGGGCGTCGGCCACCATACCCCTTCTGCTAGCTGGACTTAGGGCCGCGTACGCCCTCGCGCACAATAGCATCTAACTTACATGATATTAGCAAGGTGACTTTTTTGCTATTCATGACTTTGGCTTTTTTGAATTCACAAGCACAAAGCAGCCTTTTCGTATACTACCATTAGAAACCCAAAAACTGGGTAAACAAATTAAATCCTGCATGCATCACACTTCAAAAAAATGGAGTTTTATAAGTAGTCCAACTTTACATTAGAGAATTCCAAGCTACTTTTGCAAACTTTTATTAAGGAAGTTACACTTACAGATGAATATAGTTTTACAGATGTGATAAATACTATTTGAATTCAAACTGCAAATTCACTGTTGGTCCTGATCAGTAAAACTTCTTTAGATTTTACTTAATAACAAGACACTAGGGGTGCTAAAAGGTCACATTGTGCACTCTATAAACCACATTCAGCAAAACTAAATCTTCTTATCCTGGCAGTTCACACTAACTAACAGTCTTGGAACTTAACATTTACAACAAGATTGTGACATTTATATGTTGCTATAATTAGCATAATCATACTTGCATAAAATATGCAAGGCTTCCTGCTTCCTGTTTGTAATTCACTCCAAGAACTCTAGATTCTTTAGAAATTTATTTACAAACAGCAGAGGTAAATTTCAGCTACAGCTGCTGTCTTAAGAGCAAATTGCCGTTGGCAAAAAAGGGAGCAGCAAAATGCACTGCAGAGTGTGCTTTGATTGTTTTGTTGGTTTGGGTTTTTTTTAATCCTCTCTCTACCATCTGCATACAAAATCTTTTAATAGGATTTTTAAAAGCCTCTAGAATAGCTCTGGCAAGGATTTCGGTTGTCTGACTAGTCACAGTTACCCTAAGTAATCCATTTTACTTACTAAGTGGACTGCAATTTATATATCAAAAAGAAACTTGAAATGTTGTAACATACAACATAGTCAGAAAGTTATACAGATAAATGAATTCTCTGCCTATGGTTCTTACTCTGCTGAAAAAAAACCAAAAACAACTTAAAGAAAGCATTAACAAAACAAAATTTTAAAAAACCCAAAAAACAAACAAACAAAAAAAATCACCCAAAAAAAAAAAAGCCTACCAAAAAAAATTAAAAACCAGAAGGTATTCTAAACAAAAAGTATCCCAGGAGGAAACTCAACAGGTACTAGATACTCACTAACTTAAAATTTAACGACCTAGCATGGTAACAAGGTATGAAATTTTATATGTTTAAAACAACACCTCTCTTCTGTAGCCCGTGCAATCTTTCTTGTCCTCAGATCTCACTAAAATCCAAGCTAGCCACCATTATCTGTGTACTGTTTTCCTCCCAGTTGCTTCCTTGTATTCTGGATTCCCAATGAATCATGTTCCATAGCTTCACAGTCCTTTATCCTTGTCTTTGATGTTAGTGTCTGTATCTCTCTAGTGACTGCTCCCTGTCTACTCTACACCCTTAGGCATTTACTCAGACTGATTTTCATGCTTTGGCAACATAAATTGTTAATCTATGTCAATATAAGGTCTAACAAATGTTGTTTGTTCTGCAGTCTGTAAACTATGCTTTGTATCCATTGTGACTGAAACGCCATAACATTTTAGTAGACATGCTTTGCCTGAAATCCTAAATCAGCACTTATACTCTTAGCTTTTCTTCCAGATTAGGAGCCTGCAATATTTGCTTATGCAAGAAAGCTAGAGAAAGAAAAATTGGAAATTCCTTGATTCATTTCAAGTTTTCCCTTAAAACAGAGCTTTCATAATTTACACTATGCTCTCTAAGGATATTCTCGCCATTAACAAAGCATGTAGTGTCACGAAAGCAGAGAATCTGGAGCGCTATCAGTCAGAAGTGGAAGGATGGCAAATCAGTCTTTCTGTCCAACACAAGTTTCCAGGTTGGGAACATTTCCTGCTCACAACAGCTTTTCTGCGCTGATTTTATGAATTACTTACTCAAGAACACAAATAATTGTGTTCAGCAGTTTACATCTGTCCATTTTGCACAAGACTTAGCAAACTCAAAACCAAATCAAAACCCTCAGGTGCCGCAATCTTACAATTGTGTTTTAGTACTACATAGCTTTAAAACTGGATGTCTACAATTAAGACTTCTCTTGCAGAAGAGGAAGTGAGAAGAATGTCAGGACATTAACTACTGGTTTTTTCTAGCTGAATTCAGAGCTACACATTCTCAGGACTAAAAGTACTTGCATGCAAATACAAAATAAAAAGAGGCTATTTTCTTGGTATTCACTGCATCCAATCACTCCAAAACAAAACCAGAAACCCCTCTTCCAGATTTCTTTCTTGCTGCCACTTACAAAATATACCTTTCCAGCACCAAAGAATAGGTCTCCTCTGCACACTACAATATACTTCTGTATAGGAATTGCCAGAACCAGCATAGTCAAAACCACTTTCACTGTTAACTGTAATAGCAGTACTGGATGCTGTCATACAAGCACTCATATGCCATAACCAGAGTGAAACCCATATAAGAGCATAAAAAGATGAAAAAACACTGCCTTTTAACAGGAGACTACAGATGCAGGGAGCTACAG